TCCTTCCTTCCTTCCTTCCTTCCTTTCTTTCTTTCTTCCTTCCTTTCTTTCTTCCTTTCCTTCTTTCTTCCTTCCTTCCTTTCTTTCTTTCTTCCTTTCTTCCTTTCTTCCTTCCTTCCTTCCTTCCTTTCTTTCTTTCTTCCTTCCTTTCTTTCTTCCTTTCCTTCTTTCTTCCTTCCTTCCTTTCTTTCTTTCTTTCTTTCTTTCTTCCTTCCTTCCTTCCTTTCTTCCTTCCTTTCTTTCTTCCTTTCTTCCTTTCTTGTCGTTTTTTTCTTTTTAATTCTTTGTGCAGAACTGGCTGTCCTGGAACTAGCTCTGTAGATGTGAACTCCCAGAGATCCCCCTGCCTCTGCCTCCCAAGTGCTACGATTAAAGGTGTGAGCCACCACCGCCCGATACACTGAGCAGTTTCTTTCTTTTTTCTTTTTTTAAAGAATTATTTGTGCTGGGCGTTGGTGGTGCACGCCTTTAATCCCAGCACTCGGGAGGCAGAGGCAGGCGGATCTCTGTGAGTTCGAGGCCAGCCTGGTCTCCAGAGCGAGTGCCAGGATAGGCTCCAAAGCTACACAGAGAAACCCTGTCTTGAAAAAAAATTTTTTTTATTTGTTATGTGTACAGTGCTGTGGCATGTAGATGGTTGAGAACTGAACTCAGGACCTCTGGAAGGGTAGCCAGAGTCATCTCTCCAGCCCACTGGGGAGTTTCTTTTCACCTAAGTTTGTTTGTTTGTTTGTTTGGTGTTTTGTAGCAGGCAGGCCTAGGCTTTGGCCCTGGTCCCGATCTTAACTAACGAGCTCTGTGGTTTCAGGCAAGAAATGGCGTTAATCATGAAGAAGAGGGAGTAACTTCCTCAGAGTTGATGTAACGATGTAACGTCCAGTGAGGCATAGTGTGCCCAGGACATTTTTCCATCATACAGAAGCCACCTGCCTGTCTATAGGGGTTGGTGTCTTTAAGTTTAACCCAGAAGGTTTTCAAGCTTCCAACTGCCTATGAGGTATCATCTTCAGTTCCCAGGGAAGGAATGAGGTATCATCTTCAGTTCCCAGGGAAGGAAGTCCAGACTGGAAACTGAAACCTTTGCCCAAGGCCATTTATAAATACAGGCCCATGGCAAGTGCGGCTCCAAACCCCGAGGACAGTTAGTGGGCAGGACAAAGGCCCAGCCTTCATGGGCTGTAAACTCAACCCTCGGTGGCTGTTTCCATCCCTCATCTCTGCCTCCTCACTTCGTGTTAAGTGAGCACACTTAGGGTAGAACCCTGGGGAATCGTGGGGGTGTGATTGTAAAAGGTTAGAGTTGGTGCTTGAGTCTCCAGGTTTGTTCAGACCCGAGGGGGAGTAAGTCTATTTTGAAAATATACAAATGGTGATGCTGTTTGGTTTTGTTTGCTCGCTTGTTTCTGGCTGTCCTGGAACTCACTCTTGTAGACCAGGCTGGCCTTGAACTCAGAGATCCACCTGCCTCTGCCTCCCCAGTACTGGGATTAAAGGCGTGCACCACCACCACCACCACCACCACCACCACCTGGCTCAACACACAGAAAATTTTAGATGTTTCATGTATCTTATACTCTCCAGTTTTTGATCTTTGTAGCCTTGAGAGTTATCTGTAAAGCCTATGCCCCTGAATTGGTCACTACTGAACTTAAGTAATTTGTTTACTCCTGTGTGCCATACAAATACCAATGTATGAATACTACAGTGTTATGCTGTAAAGCAGTTGAGAAGTATTACATGGACACATGTCCTCTAGCATGTGTCCTCTAACATGTGTCCTCCAGCATTTCTCCCTAAAGGATTTAACTTCTGAACCAGCCCAGGTAGGTTACACTTGTAATATGAACACTCCCAAAGACCGAGTCAGGAGGATTACTATGAGTTTGAAGCCAGCCTGGGTTATATACAGAGCAAGAGCCTGTTTTAAAAACTGCCTGGCAGTGGGGCACACACCTGAAAGGCAGAGACAGATGGATCTCTGTGAGTTTGAGGCCAGCTTGGTCTACAGAGCTAGTTCCAGGACAGCCAGGGGTACTCAGAGAAACCCTATCTAAAAAACAAAAACAGAAAAGAATAAAAATGTAACTTGAGGGATTTTTCTTTCTTTCCTGAGACAGGGTTTCCCTGTGTAGCCCTGGCCATCCTGGAACTTACGCTGTAGACCAGGCTGGCCTCAAACTCGGATCTACCTGCTTCTGTGCTGGGAATAAAGGTCTGTGCCACCATCAGTTTTTCAAACAACACAAATTAGAGTGATGCAGCAAAACATTGATACCCAGCATTTGCAGGAATTAGAGTGATGCAGCAAAACATTGATACCCAGCATTTGCAGGGAGCAGGATGTCCATTCTTGTTGACCCATCTCTCTTCCTGACCTAGAGGTAGAGCATCTCCTCTTCATCCTTCGCTGTTTACCAGCTGTTTATTTTTTATGTGTTCTTCTCCCATACAATAAATACATCCATCTGCAGTTTCCTCTCCCTCTACTCCTCCCAGTTCTCCCCTCCCCCAAGTCCACTCCTCCTGTTTCCCTTCAGAAAAGAGCAGACCTCCAAGAGATATGAACCAAACACGGCATAACAAGATACATTAAGACTAGGCACAGGGGGGCTGGAGAGATGGCTCGGGTAAGAGCACTGACTGCTCTTCCAGAGTTCGAGACCAGCCTGGTCTACAAGAGCTAGTTCCAGGAAAGCCTCCAAAGCCACAGAGAAACCCTGTCTCGAAAAACCAAAAAAAAGAAAAAAGAAAAAAATCAGGATTTAAATAAGCTGTACAAGTTGCTTTGGATTCTGTGTTAGTATACTTAGAAGCTGTAACAGCCACCTGGAATCCTCTTCAAGCATCTAGAAGGCTTACTGTATCTAGCACCTCTATAAGAGCTGTAGCTCTGAGGATAAGTTAGAAATTAATTCAATTTATCACCTAGCTTCAGGAGTCATTCGGGGCTAAGCAATAACATATGTGAAGAGCGAGCCCTCTCCATGCTTCTGATACACACAAGTGCTCCGTATATTCTGGCATTGATATTCTTTCCACTTGGAGTGTCTGTTTTTTCAAGTCTTCAATTAAGAAGAAAATGGCCACCATGCTAGAAATTCACATTTCCTTGGTATAGTTTTATATCTTAGAAACTTGAGTGATGTGTTTCTGCTTGCTTTGTATAAACAGAAGGAAGGCACCTGTCGTGATTGTAAGCTTCTCCTGACTCTTTTCCCACCAGATGTGTGTTAAAGGAGTTAGAAACCCTGGGAAAGGAATTATACGGAGCCAAACTGATCGCACAGAAATGCCAGGTTCGAAATTGTCGTCATTTCAAGAGTGCAGTGAGTGGATCGGACTGTCTCCTGTCCATGGTGGAAGAGGGAAACCCTCATCATTATTTTGTGGCAACACAGGTGATGTTACTTTTTGTTTTTTTGGTTTGGTTGGATTTTAGGTTTCTTTTTTTTTTTTTTTTCCAGTTTTGATAGTGTTTTTTTGTGTAGCTTTGGAGCTATCCTGACACTCTCTCTGGAGACCAGGATAACCTCTAATTAACAGAGATCTGCCTGCCTCTGCCTCCCGAGCGCTGGAATTACGGTGTGCGCCACCAACGCCGGGCTAAACTCTTATACACTGAATTTCAGGTACTAAACTTGATTGAGGAACTGAATCCATTTTCTTTTTCCTAGGATCAGAATGTGTCTGTGAAAGTAAAGAAAAGCCCTGGGATCCCTCTCATGTTCATTATTCAGAACACCATAGTGCTAGACAAGCCTTCTCCCAGGACAGTGGCCTTTGTGAAGGCCGTGGAGTCAGGCCAGCTGGTCTCAGTGCACGAGAAAGAAAGCATCAAGCAACTGAAGGAGGAGCAAGGCCTCGTGAGGAACCCTGAGCGGAGGAGGAGGAGGAGGAAAAAGAAGGTCCCCAGCCCCAATCCACTCAGCTGCTTGAAGAAAAAGAAGAAAGCACCCGACGTACAGTCCCCTGCCTCAGAAAAGAAGAGGAAGAGGAAAAGAACCCGGAACAGATCGACCCCGAAAGTGCCTTCTGAGCAGCAGGGAGTGGAAGCATGATGTGTGCCGGGCCTACTCTCTGCTGCTAAAACTGTGAAACTGTTTACAGCAAAGGACTAAGCTTATTTTTGTAAATGAATTCTGACACATACACTTTTGCTTCAAATTAAAGAGTGACTAGGTCTCTTTATCAGCGTTCATCTTCAGTTGCTTTGAGAGGTGCTTTTGATTATAAAATTCTTGGCTCCTGTTTCTCCTCTCCTACTTCCCAAGTGGTATGTGTGTGTGTGGTGTGTACATGAGTATGTGTTTGCGTATGTCCGTGCGTGTGTGCGTGTGTGCGTGCGTGCGTGCGTGCGTGCGTGCGTGCGTGCGTGTGTGTCTGAGAGACAGAGACTATGGTACATGAAGAGGCCAGAGGCCAACATGAAGCATCTCCGTCTATCACACTCTACCTTTATTTTTTGAGACAGGGTCTCTCACTGAACCACTAACTTGCCAGTTGGCCACTGAGCCCCAGAGAGTCTCTAGTGTGATGACCAAATCGATTCCTGAGACCAGGTGGTGGGAGAAGAGAGCTGACTCCCACAAACCTCCATACCTGTAAAAAGAACAGATGAATGTACTTTGTAAAAGTCAGTGCTCAAGGGGAAAAGGGATTAAAAAAAACATTATTTTATACAGTTAATATATGGCAATAAAAGTTTAAAAGGAGCTCAGAAAGTAGTTCCTTGGACACTTTGAGAAACTATCCACACTCATAGGTTGATTTTCTATCTCTGCAATATCATGCTACTTTTTGCTCTCAATAGATTGGAAGTCATGCTCATACACCTTGTATTTTTCTAATATCTAAGTCACAAACTCATTTTCAGCAATGTTCATGGCTGGATAAAGTGGCATGTATGGTGGCTGTGTTTGTTACATTGCTTGCTCTTTCTGAATCCAAATATCATCATTAATTGTCTTCTGCCTTCCAGGAACACGAAAAGGCTCTCACAACCTGATTTCCTGTATAGTTACACTCACCTGATAGTGCCAAGTCATTTTTCCCACAAAATATTTGTCTGGGTTCTACTGATGTGCTCCAGTGTGGCTAGGTTTTCTACTGGGTCACAGAGAACTGTCATGCTGATTTCCCAGACTTTTTATTTTTGGTATTCTCTTGCTGTAATAAATCATAGAGCATGGAAGGATCCCATATTCTGAGAATCTACTGCCCATATTACAAACTACATGATTCTTAGCCGAAAGTCATGTCAAATGTCTTAAATATTGTGTAGAGTATTGTCCTGGGGGAAAACCTGCCATTTTTCATCCCCAGGTGTTGATTAGGATATTGATTTTTGTTTTTATAGCTGACCTGAATACTTCCACTCAATGGCAAGAATTATGAAATAATGTAATCCTGTTCAAGTATCCAAATTATTCAATTCAGTTAGGAATATTATATGTCTGCGACTATGTAAAACAAGATGGTTGTGATTTGACAAGATTAATAGCAGTTTTTCCTGTGTAGATAGAATGAAAAGCCTAGAATCTTTAAAATGTTCTAAAAGCCATTTTATTGTATTAACTTATCCTAAGAATCGTTAGTATAGATGTCAACGGAGAGAAAGAAGGATTGGTTATCCCCAGTCAAAACTATCAAAGAGCCCTAGCCCTCTTCCACAGAGATGGGGGAGGGTGTTGCCCTCTACCATTCCTGGTACTGTAAGCTCTGCTAACCACCTCGACCTGGGCAGTAGGCTCACACGGGACGCTTATTGATGGTTCCCTAAACTGACATAGCAGCGAACACCCTTTTCCATATCTGCACTTAACACCTTAACAAAACCGCAGCACTCTCAAGGCAGAGGCAGGCGGATCTCAGTGAGTTCGAGGCAGCCTGGTCTACAGAGGGAGTGCCTCCAAAACAATACAGAGAAACCCTGTCTCGAAAAACAAAAACAAAACAAGAAAACATAAAAAAAGATTCCCAGATTTGACCACAGAAGCCTCTCTTTGCCTGAATGATGGTGAACACAGAGAGACTCATGCCTCCCCAAGATGCAGTCATGACTATTTGTGGGTCCGGCTCTAAAGGAGACATTATTACTGTCCCCTCTGAGGCTCAGGGAACATTTCAGAAGAGGGCTCAGGGAGTGTACTAAGAGACAGAAGATGGGGTGAGGGACTGCAAAATGCCATTTTCTAGACTGGATACAATCACTGCAACCATTAACTCAAAACTTGTTACCTACGCTGGGCCCACCTAGCCTGACTAGCAGTCATGGTCGGGGAGGGGCTCGTGGGTCCCTACCATTTGCTTCTGACCATTTGCTGCAGATAGATTCTTATGGGGGGATCACCTTCATTGAGTACCCACTCGGAGCCCCCAGCCCCCATGCTCCAGTGGCTGGCTTCAAACAGATGGTCACATGGACCGCCCTGGTTAGTCTTGTGGGTCCCAAGGAGAGATTTGTGGGGAGGAGGCGGCTGTGGGCAAGGAAAGTAGGAGAATGTCAGATGAAAGTGGCCACGATCCATTTGTCAGTTTTGTAAAATTGCTTCGGAACAATTTAAACTGGTTTTTAAAACATCCTGGCTAATTGCAGTACCTCTGTTTGGTTTCAGAGTACCCAGCGTGTAATGTTAACTTAATCTTTTAAAAACACAGCCACCCAAATACTACTTCAATATAGGAACCTGGGAATTGTCTGCTAGGAAGAAACAAAAAGAACAACTAACTACACCAACAGCCCCTGAAAATTTGACGCGAAAGGTTGAAGAGTCTAGGCCAAGTCTGTTCACGAGGCATTTGCACTTCTCTACGTAAAGATCTTACTCTTTCCTCTACAACTGCTAATTCTGTCATGTGGAAGACACGCCTGCAACCAGGATGTCTTACGTCAGTTGGATCTCATCAGCTGAGGGTTAAGTCTAGACATTGCTCTACTCCTTAAATAATTCTTGATTAATTACTTTGTTTTTTATATACTTTGTAAAAATCTATCTATCTATCTATCTATCTATCTATCTATCTATCTATCTATCTTTTTTGTATTGTGGGGAGGGAGTAGAAAAGAAAGCAGCCCCTATACTGGGCCCTATCCAGTGGCAGCTTCTTGTTCCATAGGGTTAAGGAAGACTTTGAGGAAATGAAAGTTGTTTGGAAAAATCCAGGTGTGGGTGCTTTGGGTAGGAGAGAAGAAGCGACGAGTGAAGGCCCCTCACACCCTCCGTCTTGCCTCAGACTATGTCCTGGAACCCTGGGGCGGAGAGAGCGCTACTTTCCTTCCTGCTTCTTGGGATTGTTGACTGCCACGCAGTGACAGAGAACCACAAGCAAGAAAAGTGACACGCCCAGCATGCTGGCGAAGATGGCGAGCTCCAGGTCTGTGATCATCCTGACCAGCTCCGCTGGGCTCCCACGCCACCGCTGGACAAGCTCGAGGTGGGAGAGAGCCCCCCTGGGAAGCCGTGAGTCCAGTAAGGGCAGTAGGTTTGTGAGCTCCCTACTGTCCCCCCCTCATTCCACAATTTATCATTGTTAGACACCCACAGAGAGTGCATGCATCATCAGTCACGTTGTCTCTCGTGCATAGATTGAGGGTCACTAGGCTAGGAAAAGTGAAATGGAATTTCTCCTCTCATTAGGAGAGTAAATCTCAAGCCAGGTGGTGGTGGCACACACCTTTAATCCCAGCACTTGGGAGGCAGAGGCAGGCGGATCTCTCTGAGTTCGAGGCCAGGTCTATAGAAAGAGTTCCAGGACAGGCTCCAAAGCTACAGAAAAACTCTGTCTCAAAAAACAAAACAAAACAAACAAAACAAGAGTAAGTCAAAAGCTAGGCCATCATTGACAGAGTACCAGAGATCCCCGCCAAGGCTGCATGCTCGAGTAAGGCAAAGGAGAACGGAGAATCCACCTTATTCAACACAGTGAAACAGCCAGTCCTTAACACACACAGAAGCAAAGAACATAACCCAACGAGAAAAACAACGAACAAATCTGAGCGGATAAGCGAACCTCCCCTCCTTTAAGTTATTTTTCTCAGCTATTTGTCATGGACTTTAAATCTATTATTTCTTTTTTTAATAAACTTTTTTGAAGATTTTATTTATTATGTGTACAGTTATCTGCATGCATGCTTGCACACCAGAAGAGGGAACCAGATCTCATTACGGATGGTTGTGAGCCACCATGTGGTTGCTGGGAATTGAACTCAGGTCCTCTGGAAGAGCAGTCAGTGCTCTTAACCTCTGAGCCATCTCTCCAGCCCTCTATTATTTCTTTATTCCCGCTGTCTCATAAGTGTTGTGAGGTTTTTGTTTGTTTGTTTGTTTTTTGTTGTTCCCCCCCACTTCTTGACCTAATGCAGAGGTTTTAATTGGTCAATCCTGTTTCTCGCTCTCTGCAGCTTGGGTAAAGCAATCAGTTCTCCCTAAATGACAAATGAGACTGGCTAAGAAACAGTTGACCAAACAAACCAATACCAAGAGAGCCAAGGACAGGCCAGGCAAACGTCACATCTGACACTTGTCTTCACAAGCTGTGAAACACTGTCCGGACCGTTTCTTCCCTTCAGAATCGCTCTTAGTTGCCAGGTGAAAAGACAAACAGTAGGATGAGAGGGAACACATATGTCGTAAAGGACATGTGTGGAAAACAGAACAATGACTAATACGAAAGGACCACACAGGAACTAAAACCGGGCACAGAATATAAACAGACACCATTACAAAGAAACTTGCGAATGGCTGAGGAGCACACTGCAAAGAGGCTCCACATTTTTAGCCGCCAGATAAATGGAAAGTAAACTGCGACAGGGTGTCACCTCACACCTAGCAGGACTACTGTATGTAATCAGACAGAAAATAGCAAGTGAAAAGGAAAAAAACAATGTGATTTTAAAATAGTAGAACTCGCTTGGAAAAGAGTCCATCAGGCTTCCAAACTGTTAAATATGCATTTGCAACATTATGGGCAGATTCATTCCCCAGGATATGTTTCAGAGAAATTCAACAGATGTCCAAATAAAACTTATATGCAAAAATGTACTGTGGCATTATTATTAATAATAAAACAGGAACATCACAAATGTCCACTAACTGACAAATGAAACAAGATGAAATCCAATACTGCATGGCAGTAAAGAAGAAATAAAAATAGCTGGACAGTGGTAGCGCATGCCTGTAATCCCAGCACTTGGGAGGCAGAGGCAGGTGGATCTCCGTGAGTTCGAGACCAGCCTGGTCTACAAAGTGAGTGCCAAGACAGCCTCCAAAGCCATAGAGAAACCCTGTTTCAACCTCCCCTTCACTCCCCTCCCAAAAAAGAAATAAAAATATATACTGTGGGATATTTGAGCCCTGAAAACTTTCTAGCTGAAAGAACCCAAAGGATCAAGTATTGTATGACTATGTTTCTATGAAATATGCAGAATAAGCAAATCTATAGTATTAAAAAAAAAGGTTAATTGCCAGGGGAAAGGAAATGGGATAGGTAAGAGGGAAAGGGGCAGAATGTCTTTTGGAGGCAATAAAAAGAGTAAAGTTGATTTACTGACTGATGTATTGTCATGAGACTATGTTAACATCATTTGATCTTGTATACTTAGTGATTCAATCATCTATTAAATGAATTACATATCGGTAAAGCTGTTTGAAAAATGTACCCATAGAAAGCATAGTAAAGAAATGGATTCATGAATTAGTAGAGAAACCAAGAGGACTGAACAAAATATGCTGAGTACTTTGGATGCTAAGGACGGAAAGAGAATTTATGTCAGCCGGGCATTGGTGGCACACACCTTTAATCCCAGCACTTGGGAGGCGGATCTCTGTGAGATCGAGGCCAGCCTGGTCTCCAGAGTGAGTGCCAGGATAGGCTCCAAAGCTACACAGAGAAACCCTGTCTCAAAAAACCAAAAAAAAAAAAAAAAAAAAAAAAAAAAAAAAAGGAAGAATATATGTCATTTTTCTGGTTTCTTTCAAAGAGAAAACAAACAAACAAACAAACAAACAAGGAAATGAGCTTTATTTGTGTGTTAATATGTCATTTCTTTTCTTCCTGGGAACTAAGTTCACGTGAATCTCTGGCAGCCTAATGTTCACTGTCTGGTGCTCGATGCAGTCAGAAAGCTGCCATCTGTTTCATTCAGTTGCCAGAACGTTACAGATAACCCACAGGTAGGAATGGCTAAACAGATAAATCTTCCAGACACTTTGCATTTTACACAACCGTGTCACAACGATGTTTTGAGCAACTTGAGGTGAAAATGATAAAGCCGCTGTGATGGGCGAGTTCTGTCTCCAAAATTGAATCAGCAAATGTAAACCTTTTAATGGTGAGCAACAGAGCAGGGTGCAGCTGGAGCAACCATGTCCATATTGGCCTGTCGCACTTTTCCTCATTCAGAGAGAGTTGGGCATGAAGGGAATGTTTGAGAACCATCACTGAGATTTAGGTACCCGTGTTCGTGTCCTGTTCCATATGAGCCCCCTCAGAATGTGGTAAACTAGATGTCTGGGCAGGCAGGGAGCAGCTCTGGGTTTGATTGTGTTTTTATTCCCTGCAGTAATACTTTTAGACACTTCAAACCTGGATGTTTCTTGAAGTTCAAAGACATATCTTCTTCTTTTTTCTTCTTCCTCATGCTTGTGTTAGTTAGCTTTTCTCTTCTGGGACAGGAAATAGGAGATGGACCACTTATAAATGAGGAAATTCTTATTTTGGCTCATGGTTTCAGAGGTTTCTGCCCATGTCTGTTTAGCCTTGTTCCTTAGGCCCGTGGAGGCACAATATGTTAT